CTTCCCTAGCTCTAGACACTATGCTCCCATTGATGGAGGCCAAAATCCTATTGGCTTTTTTTGCCGCCACATCACATTGTTGGCTCATGTTGAACTTGTTGTCCATGAGGACTCCAAGATCTTTTTCACACGTACTGCTCTCGAGCCAGGCATTGTCCCCCATTCTGTATCCTTAAGCCGCTCCTCATAGGGCATGCAGTTTAACAGCACTGCATTGCATTATATGAGTCCAGCCTACCATATAATGCAGTTCAATGCAGTCAAACTTCATTATGAAACTGCTTTACAGTGTTCCCTTGCTACTTCGCAGTTTGCTTTTTGCAGATTCGCTGTTTTGTGGTTTTTAAAATAAATATTAATGTAAAATATTTACATTACATTATTTACATAGTGGCGGATGGTGAGCGGCTCTGCCTAGTGGCCAATGGGCCTCAAAAAGGGAGGCTGGTGTGTAGGTGTGGTGGGGAAGGTCTGCTGGTCACGAAGTGCAGCCTACTGCACTACTGCAGCTCCAGAAATGGCTCTGGAGGGACTTATTGGGTGGACTTGCAGCTGAAGCGGATAAGGAAGCGTGAAAGCTAGACTGCACATGCATGCTCCAATGCACTTTTTAAAAGTTGCTGCTCAATTAAAGTGACTGAAGGATTTTCTTTATAAGGTAAAGGAAAGAGTTTCCCCTGAATACTAAAATCTATATATATAAAAATGCCCTGTGCATAATGAGTACCTTAAAAACAAAAACAAAAAAAACCAATGAATGAAATCACACCAAATTTGGCAACAAACCAACTCACAACACACTGAGTGACCATCACTCAAAAAATTGTGATTTTGTCATTTGGGAGTTGTAGTTGCTGGGTTTTATAGTTCACCGACAATCAAAGAGAATTCTGAACTCCATCAACGATGAAATTGAACCAAACTTGGCACACAGAACTCCCATGACCAACAGAAAATATTGGAAGGGTTTGGTGGGCATTGACCTTGACTTTGGGAGTTGTAGTTCACCTACATCCAGAGAGCACTGTGGATTCAAGCAATGATGGATCTGGGCCACACTTGGCACAAGCACTCAGTATGCCCAAATATGATCACAGATGGAGTTTGGGGAAAATAGACCTTGACATTTGGGAGTTGTAGTCACTGACAAAGAAATAGCAAGAAATACTGTTTACCCACAAGCATAAAGAAATTACATATATTATAAACCAACACTTTCTCATTAGTTTATTTTCCAGATCAACAGACTGGGCCACAGCAACACGTGGCAGGGGACAGCTAGTAATGTATAAATATTAAAATTAATATAGTGTTCCTACTTTGCAGATTTTAACTTTCCGCGGGTGGTCATGGAACGTAACACCCGCGATAAGTGAGGGAACACTGTATATGACTGTGTAGACAGGACTTCTGTTTTAGGTTCTCTAGACCAGCACACAGGTATGACATCTGGTTCTTTTAGCTGTTTAAGGATCTCTAATATAATACTATATGTTATCACTATATCTTTCATGTTCCTCAAAAAATGTGAGGAAATCTTATAGATTTCTGCCTATTTTGTCCTAAACACCACTGGCTCCTTTTCTTCCCCAAATGCCTTCAACTTGCATTCTGCTTCCAGTTCCAGCTCTAGATCCAAACATAGCCTGCTATATATTTTTTGGCATCAGAATTAGAGCCCGGTTCACCAGATATCATTAAATTTTGAGATGGCAGCCAAGAAACTGCCAGAAATCCAGCCAGTCAAGGCAGACGAGGGCAGAAAAGTACGTCTCAAAACTGGGCATTTGAAATCTGCAAACACCAAGCTCCACTGGTCATTGAGCATTCGTCCAGCTCTGGAGCAAAGAGATAAGGGAAAATGTTGTTAGCGGAGTTGAAAGAAAGTGACTAGGAAGAATTTCCGTCTTCCAGTGACTACCGAGACCCACTTGAGACAGGCTCCTTTGTCTTGCCGTTGTGACAGGACTATGGCAGCAGTATGTATTCTCATTCCCCCAAAGAAAAAGAAACAGACACAAGTTTTCTGCAAGACTGCCATGAATCATACATTTTCACAACTGGGCTGAAGTCCTGTGCCATAAAAATAAACAATGACAGGAAGGGAACCGGCTGTAGATCATCCTAAAAATATAACTCTATTTTCAAGAATAAAAGTTAAGGGGCAGTCTGTTATTGTATCCAGCAGCTCCAATATGGTGCACTTGAAGCATTAGTTGTACCCATTAGGGTAGGGTAACATTGTGGCTGAGAGTGCAAAGGAATATATAAACTGATGGATCTATGTTTGTCATGTTTTCAAGATGAATGTCTTAAAAATTGAAAGCAAGATGGATACTGAACCAAGGCAATATTCCACTTAATGCAAATGGCATTTCCATTCAATACGTGCATGCATTCTAGGGGCAATTGTCCAAAGGCCATTGCATATTGAGATTTCTGACTGTTTGTGATTAAGGGATCACTTTATTAGGATTGAAGTGGTCTTTAATTTCTTCCTTCCCAAACAACAAGAAAGATGAATGATCTTGCACTGGAGCCGGTTTAGCTTAAAGGGTACAAGTCTTTGATTAGGCCATCCTTCACTTGCTAGCATACATAGGTTGGCATCTTGTTGGAAGAATAAGTAGATGTAAGTCAACCTTATGCCTGTCATGCCTTTGGATATTGGTGAGGTTGGTCTTCCCTTCCTCTCACCACAATGAACAAGTCCTACCTGGTTTGCTATAGAGGTATGCCATTGCTCTTGCTCCCCTCCCATTCTGCCTATTGCAGAGTAGACTGGAGGACTACAAGTATATAAATATTCTGAGAGCTGAAGTCCTAAACACCTGGAGGGCCACAAGTTGTAAACTGGCTGAGATTTTTGGGAGTTGTAGGCCAAAACACCTGGGGACCCAAAGGTTGAGAACTACTGGACTAGATGGATCTTGTGCTCTCTTCCCATTCTATGATTCAACAAAACTCTTCCCTCACTTTCAACAGGCATGCAGTTGTTATGAGAGGTTTGCTATGGCTTATAAGAAGTCTGTGGCTGGTGAATTTCAAGGTACTGTGTAGTTCTGAATGTAGAACTACTATAGCATGCATATCCATATAGAATTCCAAGCTATGGCTATGAGATGTGTACTAAAGAACACAACTGAATTCTTGTTAATTGCCATCAGGTCAACTTTGTCTTATGGAGACTCTATGAATGAGATACCGCCAGGTCACTGTGTCAGCTCTTGCAGATTCAGGAACATGGCTTCCTTGATTGAGTCTAACCATTCATCATCTGAAATGTACACAGCTGTAATGTTAACATGAATTCTTATCCCTTAGAATTTGCCTTGAGATTAGAAATACAGTAAACCCCCTCGGTTGTGTGGAAGTTAGACACACAGGACTTCTCTCTAGGTCCTCTCTGCATCAACGTTTACTGGAGATTGACTACCAAGTATGGAGTATGGTGTTATCTGTACGCAGATGATGTCCAAATCTGTCACTTCTTCCCACCTGTTACTAAAGAGGCTGTCCAGACCTTGAACCGGTGCTTGGCTGCTGTGTCGGATTGGATGAGGGCTAACAAATTGAAATTGAATCCAGACAAGACAGAGGTCCTCCTGGTCAGTCGAAAGGCCGAACAGGACATAGGGTTATAGCCTGTGTTGGGTGGGGTTACACTCCCCCTGAAGACACAGGTCGCAACTTAGGAGTGATCCTGGATTCATTGCTGAGCCTGGACCCCAGGTCTTGGCGGTGGCCAGGGGAGCTTTTGCACAGCTAAAATTTGTGTGCCAGCTGCGCCCGTACCTTGGGAAGTCTGATCTGACTACGGTCGTCCATGCTCTAGTTACATCCTGAATAGATTACTGCAGCACTCTCTACATGGGGCTGCCTTTGAAGACAGCTCGGAAACTTCAGCTAGTCCAACGGGAAGCAGCCAGATTACTAACTGGGGTGACATACAGGGAGCATACCACTCCCCTGCTGTGTCAGCTCCACTGGCTGCCGGTCCACCTCCGAGCCCAATTCAAAGTGCTGGTTTTGACCTATAAAGCTCTATATGGTTCTGGCCCAGCTTACTTGTCCAAATGCATCTGCCTCTATATCCCATCTCGCAATCTAAGATCATCCAGGGAGGCCCTGCTCATTCAAAATTTACCTCTTTTATAACCAAGAGCAGAGTTAGCAGCTGTTCAAAGCACACTACCTCACAGTCCTTATGAGCTTCTTAGAAATCACAGAACCAGATTAAAATCTGGAAGCCCCCCACATAAAACCCATAACTAAGTTAACCCAAAGCCACAAAGAAAAACATTAGCGGCTGCACTCAGTCTAAGCACAGACATCTGGTTTTATGCCAATGAGAGACACTAACCCAATTTTCTTCTCAGCAATTTTAAAAACCACTTCTCTCCCTTTCCCTAAAGGTATCTTTTCAGAAAGATGTGTCAAGAAGGAAGCAGGAGGGGGAAAACAAGTCAGACCAAGAACGAAGAAACGTAAAGAAATTACATTGCAAAAACAGTCATAACAAGAGGGAAATAGTGTGGTTTGATGGGACAGTGGGAATTATGGGCCTGACTAAACAAAGTTCACTCCTCATTCCTCTGAATGCAGTGCTTTGAAATTTTCTTTCATGGGTGAGGATCTGCTTTGGTTACCACTTGACAGGCAGAGAAAAAGCAGAGAAGACTAGTATTTAACACCGTTTTCTTCCATGCTGTGACTACCAGATGTGTTGGATTCCAACTTTTAACAGACCTAGACAGAATGGTAATGGAAGTTGGCATTTGTAGCACAATACATCTGGAAGGCACAACTGTTTAGGAGGCAGATTGAAAAAAAAAACCTACGTAACATGATATTTATGAGAGCACTTTAAAAAAATCAGACTTGCATCACATTTATCAAAACCACATCTGGGATGTTGCTATGAGTTTGATGTCCTCCTCGTAGCTTCTCTCCTTACTGGAAGAAATGACAAACAAGACAAGAAGCTGACTTGGTCCTACCTGGACTCGTGAGTGCACCGAGGGCACCGGTTGTTGTGGTGAGAGGGTTGGCATTGGTGGTAGTAGCTGAGGTCTGGGCGGCGGCAGCAGCAGCTGCTAGGGTTGCCAGATTCTGTAACTGTAAAGCATTCATTCCTGCAGAGGAAACACAAAGGGGAACTGCAGCTGTGAGCTGATTAGAAAACTCAAGCCATTACTTTTTACTGAAATGAAACACAGAGAAGTCCTCATCTTAGCCTGAAGTGGGGTATAATTATGGGACATGAGAGGGGCAAATGAGGGCATTGTCCACCCCCCATAGGAATTCCACCCACCTCAAATATTTTTTCTTTAGTACTTAAATTTCTATCACTGGAGTACAATACAATCCTTCCACAGAGTTTTGTTTATCCACAAATTTACTTAGGGCCTCTTGTACAAGCAACAATCAGTACTTCCATCATTTGTTCCACTGAAAACAATAGAGTTTGCAAGTCATAGAATCAAAGAGTTGGAAGAGACCTCTAAGGCCATCCAGTCCAACCTCCTGCCAAGAAGGAGGAATACTGAATTCAAATCACCCATGAAAGATGGCCATCCAGCCTCTGTTTAAAAGATTCCAAAGAAGGAGCCTCCACCACACTCCAGGGCAGAGAGTTCCACTGCTGAACGGCTCTCACAGTCAATAAGTTCTTCCTCATGTTCAAATGGAATCTCCTTTCTTGTAGTTTGAAGCCATTGTTTCGTGTCCTAGTCTCCAGAGAAGCAGAAAACAAGCTTGCTCCCTCCTCCCTGTGGCTTCACGGCTATCATATCTCCTCTCAGCCTTCTCTTCTTCAGGCTAAACATGCCTGGATCCTTAAGCCGCTCCTCATCAGTGTCCACAATTTCACATAACCGCGCTAAGTCTGGTGAACTACCTCTCAGAATACAGGGAGGAGGGTTGGGGGTGGCATACTACAATGTATAACTTCAGTCAAACATTTAAAAATAGAATTCAGGCATCCAAAGAAAAGGTCCAGTGAAACTTGCCAAGAGGTTGCAAATAAAGTAAAGAGAAGAGTTCTAGGTATAGACAGTTACAATTTTTCACTCACCGAAAGATTATCAAGTTGGAGAGTGGAAGAAAAATTCATTTGGCTAGGCAGAAATCCTATTTAAAGGGGCAATGCCTTTAATTTGACTCATAGTTTCAGGGGTAATCTCCTGCCAAACCTTTAAAACTTCTTCTCACTCAATTCCCACAAGGGTTTTGAAACAATTGCCCACCTAGCCAAGCTGTCTCAGACAACTGTTTTGAGCAGGGATGGTCCATTTATTCACAGCCCATGCCAATTTCACATACAAATCTCTCTCTCTATATATATCTCATGCATACACATACACACAGTGCTTTTGTTATGAGCTAAATCAGAATCAATTCCATCAGCAAATGATTGATGACTGACAGCACTAACTATGGTGATGGTGTTCAGCAATACTTGATGGAAGAGTTTATTGGAGGGAAAACATATCTCAGAAAGATCCCTGAGACTTATTATGAAAAGACTTGGGCACTGGGGGGAGCCAAACCCTTTCTGTAATGTTTTGGCTTGAGTTCTTAAGCTACTTATGAGAACAGAATTTTAATAAGAACCTGGAGGAAAATTAGAGGAGGGAGAGCTCACAGTGCAGTTTCAATAACCAGGGCAAGGATGGAGAAAACATCTTGGAATTCTGATGTGCAATGCTGTGGACCTGGCAATGAAAACTGGAACACAAGTTGGACTTGGTTTCAGTCCAACATGAAATTCTAGCCATGTACTTATTTATTATTTTTACCTTTATTTTAGTGAGATAATTTTCAAGTTATAAGTTGGTGCATGTCTTTGTTGACTGGCTTTAAAAAGAATATTTATAGAAGACCTTCTGAGAGCAATGTGTTCTGAACCGTCAGTGAGGAATGATAGTGGTAGTGGTGCTGGTGGTGATGATGGTGATGGTGAAACAGTATGGCCAAAGGATTGCTTGCCTCCATATATTCTTGTAAAACAAGATTTTCAACAGAGGCTTTTGCTTGGGTGCTTTTGTACAAGTGGTTACAGAGCAAAGGTCTACTTAGGTTTGGCATCCTATCTATCTCTCTTGGGAGGTTTCCCTATCATACTCAAACCTGTAGATGTTCCCTCTCCGATCATCTGGAGAGGCCCTGCTCATGATCCCACCTGCATCGCAAGCACGTTTGGTGGGGACGAGGGACAGGGCCTTCTCTGTGGTGGCCCCCTAACTCTGGAACTCTCTCCCCAAGGACATCAGACAAGCCCCAACGTTGGCAGTCTTTAGGAAGAGCTTGAAGACCTGGCTGTTCCAGTGTGCCTTTCCAGAATAGGAAACTCCCAGCATCATGTCCCGGACGCACTTTATTAGAGATTTAAGACTGTCTGCACATTGCACCTATCCTAGAATCCTACATTTCACCTGTCATGTCCAGCACTTTTAACTGTACCCATTACATTTGGCCCGGCCCTAGTTTTTAAATGTGTCATGGTGTATTGTTTTATTGTTTATTGTTACTGCTTTAATGTTTTTTGTTTGCTTATGAGTTATATAATGTATTGTTATGTTGTTGTTTTATTGAGGGCCTTGGCCTTTGTAAGCTGCATCGAGTCCTTCGGGAGATGTTAGCGGGGTACAAATAAAGTTAATAATAAATAAATAAATGTTGTTGGATCCCACATCCTTAATTATTGGATGTCTTCACTAGGAGTGATGGTAGTGTTGTACTCAATAACATCTGGAGGATCACAATTTCCCCAACTTTGGCCTACCAACTACTGTGATATATTTTAACATAGACTCATAGAATGGTAAATAGAAGGTGCTTCATGGGCCATCAAGTCCAATCTCCTACTCAATGCAGACCCTCCAACTAAAGCATCCCTAGAAGGTAGCTGCTCAATATGATTGATCCCAATGCGAAAATGGAGATGTTCTGTTTTGGAACCCGCTAAATTACCCCTCTTGTCTACCTCCCTTTTCAACCTGCCAGGATTGTTATTTGTCCATTTAAAAGTTAGAGAGGAGACTCTACCATCTCTCTATGCAAGTGGTTCCATTGCCCTGGCCTAGCATCTACTATGATATCATTTCATGTAGAATCACAGAGTTGGAAGTAGCTTCATGGGTCATTGAGTCCAACGTCCTACTCAATGAAGGGTCTTTAGCTAAAACAGTGGTTCTCAACCTGGTCCCCAGATGTTTTGGCCTACAACTCCCAGAAATCCCAGCCAGTTTTACCACCTGTTAGGATTTCTGGGAGTTGTACGCCAAAAACATCTGGGGACCCCAGGTTGAGAACCACTGAGCTAAAAGGTCCCCAGCAGGTAGCTGATGAGCCCTCTTTTAAAGATATCCAAGAAGATCCCTTTTATTGCTCAAGCTTTCAAAATTTGCTCCAAGATGGTTGTTCTTAATTCTCTCAGCCTTTCTCATACCATTCGTTATAATGTAGTATTAATGTTCTTTGTATTGTCAAAGGCTTTCATGGCTGGAATCACTGGGTTGTTGTAGGTTTCTCGGGCTATATGGCCATGTTCTAGAAGCATTCTCTACGGACGTTTCACCTGCATCTATGGCATGCATCCTCAGAGGTAATATTCTTGTTTTAATATTTGTTTTATTATAATCTTATCCCTTGCTGTCCCAAGATCCTGCTGAATTGTGGGCTATAAATGAAACTGAACTGAAATAAAATATTCATGAATAAGATTTGTTGAAATCTGGCTTTTTAGAAGAAAATGGCTGCAAGAGAAATTTCAATTGATGTACGGAGGTCCAAAGCAAGATTAGTTCATTTCACACCTGGACAGTTCTACAAATGTTTAGGGTCCATCTGTCCCAGACAATCTTGTAACACCAGAGGATGCTGGCATATGACTTCCTGATCAGCTGCTTTCCATCAATCCATCAATCCTCAGTGAAGGAGACCACAAAGTTTTCTCTCTATGCTTCCAGAATGTAAATCTTTCCACATTCCTCTCAAATATTTGACTTGTCCACCCTTGGCCTTATCTTGCCTTGAATGCCTGATAGGACCGGAATTAAGAATTAGTATTCTAAGAAGACTTGATAAGACTGAACAGCAGGAACCCCATGACCAGCTGAGATTTCCTCAATGTTGCCACAAACCTCTTGCTGTTGCTGCCATTTCATGTGTCTTCTCTGCATGAATGAACAGCTGGGATCTGCCCACCCCATGATAATTTCTAAGATGGGAGAGGCCTCAACATTGGCATGCAGCATGTTATCAATTTTGCTTATATTCAGGTACTTGCAGGGAGGGGACGCATTCATTCTCTCCATACACTACCATTTAAATAACCTTAAACAGGAGCATCCTTACAAGCACAACATCCAGTTTAGCTTGCTCTTGCTGTGTTCCTTCAAGCTGTTTCTGACCTATGTAGACCTGAAGGTGACTCTATCATAGGTTTTCTAGGCAAGATTTCTTTCCTCTGAGATGAAAACTGTTTGACTTGCCAAAGCTAACCCCATGGGTTTCATGGCTGAGCAACAATCTGAACCCTTCTCTCTAGCATTGCAGTCCAATGGTCAAACCACTGCACCACACTGGCTCCTTCCTAAGTAATTGCGCACCAGATAGATTGCAGGCAGCTGCTATTATTCTTGGCAGGACTCAACAATAATCACTGTCAAATTATTTCTCAGTGCTTGCTCATTTAATAGTGGCTGATGAGACTCAATTACACTGCTCAAATTTTGCCAGCTCATTTTGGGAGGTTTTGTGTGTGGGGGGGTTAACTTTCATATTCTGGGGTTTTTAGGGTATTGGACCTAGAGGGAGGGTGAATTTCCACTATCTCTTCTCTCCTGGTGGGTGGCTGAATAGAATAGTGAGGGACAACAGGAGAGAAAAGGATGCGCTTAAATAAGAGCCTCTGCTCTGTACAGTCTGGCCCAAAGATCCATAGGATGAACTTCTCATATCAACTACCAGAAAGTGTAAAGAACTTTGGAAGAAATTTATTTTTAGTGGTAAGTATCAGTATGAAATTCAGTAGACTCTTGCTTATCTGACATAAACGGGCCACCAGAAAGTTGGATAAGTAAAAAATCTTAGATAATACAGAGGGATTAAGGAACCCGAGCAAACGTAGGAGGGAGGGAGCGGGGGTTCTTGA